AGGGTTGCCAGGTGCCCGGCATTTTTGCCTCCTGGCTGGGGAAAAATTCAGAAAATTCCCGACATCTCAGGTGTTCTGTGAATTTTTTTACCAAACAGGAGCCAAAAATACGGCGCAGCCGGCAACCCTAGCGGGTGGCAGCAAACAGAGTCCTGAGGGCCTAGGCCCTGGCTTGGGTCCGGGGGGAGCAGCAAACACGATTCTGAGGTAAGAGGCCAAATTCAGGGCAGGGCACCAAACAGCCCTGAGTTAACACGCCCAGGCCTGGTTCGGGGCAAGGCATCCAAACAGATGGCCCTGGGGTACCTGGCCCTGGTTCGGGGCAAGGCATCCAAACAGAGGGCCCTGGGGTACCTGGCCCTGGCCCTGGGGTACCTGGCCCCAGGGGCAGATGACTGTTTTGCGGGGCCCCGGGCAGCATAACTCCACGGGGCCCCCCCTTTGCCACAGCGCATGCGCGGGGCTTTTTTAAGCGCGGGGCCCAGGGCGGCCGCCCCATTCGCCCTGCCCTATATCCGCCCCTGCCTGGCCCTGGTTCGGGGCACAAACAGAGTCCTTAGGTACCACACACAGGTTCAGGCAGGGCACCAAACAGCCCTGAGGTAACACGCCCAGGCTTAGGGTTGCCAGGTGTCCGGTATTCACCTGGACCGTCCAATATTTTTGCCTCCCATCCAGGAAAAAAATTCATAGAATACCGGACACCTGAGATGTCAGGTATTTTCTGAATTTTTCCCCAGCCAGGAAGCAAAAATGCTGGGCACCTGGCAACCCTACAAATACTTAGTTCCCGACCCCAGCCCCCGTGTTTACCTGGTTCCCCAAGTCTGCCTGCACAAAATGGCTGCCGGCCAAAAGACCTAGGGGAAGTCATTGGAGTCCTTTTTTTTTGTTTGTTTTTTTTTGCTCAGCAACTTTGGTTCCCCTCCCCCCCTGCTTTTTTCCCCCCCCTTCAACAGTATTTTTTCCTGGTGTTTTTTTTTTGGGGTGGGGTGGTTGATGTGTTTGGTATTTTTATTTCAACCATCTGGCAACCCTACCACCTGCTACCCCAGCCAGGGCCTGGTACCTCAGAACTGTGTGTTTGTCAGTCTGTCTTGAATTTGGGCCTGGGGCTAGGGTTGCCAGGTGTCCGGTTTTGAACTGGACAGTCCAATAGATTGTGATGTAATGTCAAGTGTGTCTGGTATTTTTGTTGAAACCATTTGACAACCCTACCTGGGGCTGTTACCCCAGAACTGTCTGTTTGCTGCCCCGCCCTGAGCCAGGGCCTGGTACCTCAGCTGTGTTTGTTTGTCACTGTACCCTGAATTTGGGCCTGGGGCTGTTACCCAGAACTGTCTGTTTTGGATGCCTCGCCCTGAGCAATAGGGCTGCCAGGTGTCTAGTTTTGAACCAGACAGTCCAGTTTTTGAGCTTTCTGTTTGGGAAACAAATTGAGAAAATAGAAATGAGCAAATAGAAATGTCCGGTATTTTCTAAATCAGATGGAATGTAGATTGTGATGTGATGTCAAGTGTGTCTGGTATTTTTGTTGAAACCATCTGGCAACCCTACAAACAAGGGCCTGGGCGTGTTACCTATGGACTGTTTGCTGCCCCGTCCTGAACCAGGGCCTGGTACCTCAGGGGCTCTGTTTGCTGAACCCCTCTCTCCCCCCCCCCACCAGGGCTGGGCCTAATGACTTTTAACCCCTGAAGTCTGTTGGTTTGCATCCCTGTCCTGAGCCAAAGTCTGTATCTAGCAGTTGTCAGCTGAGCCCGATCATAGGCATGAGCCCTGGACTATTGTGGTCCCTCCACAGTGTGGGCTTGGCATAATTAAAGGTTGACTTGTCCCAACCATAAGCCTGGGGCCCTGGATTATTGTGGCCAGTACGCAGTGAGAGTTTGGCATAATTAACGTCTGGCTCGAGCCGACCAGTGACCCGAGCCCCTGAATTTCGTGACTGTGGGCCTGGACTGACCAGAGGCCAGAGTCCCATACTAATGGTAGAGCTGATTCCCCAGGAGAGACTGAGCAGAGGTGTAGTGAGACAGAGTAATTCAGAGGTAGAGGGGCCCAACCCAGAGCTCTGGTGGGCTATACGGACAAAAGTTGAACTTGATTTTTTGGTTGCATGTATAAGCCAGTTAACAATAGAGTCCATTTTCAAGTAGGGTTGCCAGGTGTCCGGTTTTAAACTGGACCGCCCAGTATTTGAGCTTCCTGTTTGGGAAACAAATTGAGAAAATAGAAATGTCCAGTATTTTCTAAATCAGATGTAATGTAGATTGTGATGTAATGTCAAGTGTGTCTGGTATTTTTGTTGAAACCATCTGGCAACCCTACTTTCAAGGCATCCAGGAAAATCTGCCTTCCTCCCCCAGTGACCTAGATTAGGGACTTGCCCATTTGACACTTTGACTGTACGTTCTCACTGCATTTCTCAAGTGTTTGCATGATCTTGCCAGGAATTGCTAAAGATTGCAATATTTAGTACAGGCCCCAGCAAAGTCTTACAAGCACACACATACCTGGATGTTTTTCTGTGTACCAACATCCAAGGGGATCTGCCATTACCACTTTGTTAAATGCACAATGCTTGGGAACTTGGCCCTGCATAAAGTAATCAGTTTGGGTATGGAGTAGGCATAACCACCACCAGGTGGATTCAAACGTAGGATCTCTAGAGCTCAGTCTATAGCTTGAGCTATAAAGCCAGCTGCTGCTCAGCTTAGGCTGTAGAGCTCATTCATTCTTCTCTCTCACTGCACATGGTCTACGTACCATTGCATGGGTCAGTGAACCACACGCTGAGTGTGTGGATTATATATGCATCAGGAACTGTCTCTGCATTAAGCTTCTTGTAACCAACACAAAACCTTTTGGGGCCCTTAACAATACAAGAAGCCCAGGATCCTATAATTATTCCCAAGTCAGCAGACTAGATATCTTCTTATGAACAGGGCTTGACAAACCCCAGCAAGAGCCACTCACCAGCCCCACATTGCGCATGTGCGAAGCGCCAGTGAATGGGGCACACGGAGCGACTGGCTGAAATCTACTCGCCACGGGTGAGTAGATTCAGTGGTTTGTTGAGCCCTGCTTATGAACATACTCCTATATTCATATTCATGACCCATAGTAAGGCATGCTTTGCTGAGGGCATGCTGTGGTCTCATAGGACACGTCTACACAGCAGGGCTAACCTCAAAATAAGCTACCCAACTTGAGCTATGCTAATTGCATAGCTTAAGTCGAAATAGCTTATTTCAACTTTTGGTGCTGTCTACACAGCAGTTATTTCAAGATAGAGCACTCTTCTCCTGACTTTTCTTACTCCTCGTACAATGAGGGTTACAGGAGTTGGAGTAAGCAGTCCTCCAGCTTAACATTATTTTGACATGAAAATAACTGCTTGTGTGTAGACCTGGACTGTATTATTCCGAAATAACGCTGCAGTGTAGACATAGCCATAGTGTTAATCTTATGAACCATTTTGTGAGTCAAAAATGGCCTTCTGGACAGCAGCTGTTTTGCAAAGGCATCAGCAGGCAAAGTCTCTCCCTGTTCATACTTTGCACAGATCAGTAGTATTCAGAAATCAAATCAGTCAGCAGATCATGTTTCCAAAGCTGTCACGATTGTGATACATGTTTCTATGCACAGTCTGCAGTGCAGCCCTGTGGCAGGGGCTTTGTACATTATAGGTGACATTGTTTCTGAGTTCTGGCTTGCAGCATATGGAGCTAGGCGCAGGATGGGATTCCTTCCAGAGGGACATGAGTATGCAGTCATGTGTCTGTCTTTGGCTACAGCCCCCTGCTTTGAGGGAACAGGCCAGGATAATTGCTGTGGACATTCAAGGAGCTGATCCTGTTTTACTTGAGCCAGTCAGTCAGCCAGGACGCTTGGCAGAGAGCAGCATGATGCACAGAAGAAATCCTGTTATCCTAGCAACGAGTGCAGGCTCCTAGGCAACAGTGTGGCCATGGAGAAAGCTCTGAGAGGAGAGATGGGGTGAGCCAGCGAGGCGGGTTCTATCTTCCAAGCATCCTTCTGCAGTGAGGCAGATAGGAGGGTGTGGTCCAATCTTAACCCTTCCCGTATGGCTGGAGAGTTGTGGGACCGCTCTCCAGGTAACGAAAGGGGCATCAATTTAAAAAACAAGGAACGATCCTGCAGCACCTTAGAGACTAACAAAACATGTCAATGGGATCATGAGCTTATGTGGGCACAACCCACTTCTTCAGATGAATGGAGCCAGGGGTCCAGAGATACAAATAAATAGCAGAAAAAGAGGGGATGGGGCAGGAAAGACCTGGACTCCTTGCTCCATTCGTCTGAAGAAGTGGGTTTTGCCCACGAAAGCTCATGATACCATCTGCAGGTTTTTTAGTTTTTAAGGTGCTACCAGACCATTTGTTGGTTTTTTTTTAGTTTTTCCAGTTACAGATTAACTTGGCCACCCCTCTGAAGCTTTTCTACATTTTTTGTTAGTCTCTAAGGTGCTGCAGGGCCATTTGTTGTTTTGTTTTTTTGTTTTTTTTTTCAGTTACAGACCAACACAGTTACCTCTCTGAAATTTTTAAAGGTGCATTTGCTACCCTCCTGATGGCAGGCTGTCTCTTCCCTGTCTCCGCATGGCTGGCTGGGGCCCGTGCTGGCTCATGATGAAAGCAGCAGGCAGGAATCCCCATGAGGTTTTATGCCTCTTGGCTGGAGGTGGGACTGTGTGAGAGAGCATAGTCTGTAAAGCTCCCTATCCGAACCAACTAGTCTCTCAGAGGTTTATTGTCTCCTATTGTTTCTATTGTGTTGGCTCCTCCAAAGATGTCCCGGCTCTGGCCAAGCCACCATTGTACTGTGAGCTATCCAAACACAGAACAGTCCCTGCCCGAAAGGGTTTACAATGCCTCCTTGCCAAGCTGCTACGGCCAAGCCATCCCCCAGAGGCACCCACAGCCATCCCAGGCCATATCCCCTAGCCCCGTCCTTCTCTTGTCCTCTCCCCCCAGAGATCTGGCCCCGCGGGACATCTCCGGTACCTCAGACCCCTTTGTGCGAGTGTCCTATGATGGCCACACCTTGGAGACGGCCCCCCCCCCTCAATCCTGCACCTCCATAGCAGCAAGATGAGACTCCACCAGCCAGTAGAGTAGAGAGGGTTTATTGCGTCTCCAGGATACAGCACAGATGTGATGTGGTTACAGGAGTCAGGGCCAGGCAGCCTCAGACCCCTTGGGATAGAGGTCTGCTGCCCCCCTCAGCCCCCAGTACTCAGCTTAGTCTCTTCTCTCCATGTTTTTCCAGACAAGACTACCCAGCTCCCAGACCCTGCCCCCCAGCCAGATGGCTGTCTCTGCCTCCCTTCCTGTGTCTCTCCTTCAGGGAAGAGCCTTGTTATCTGATCAGGCTGGGACTAGGTGTCTGGGCCAGTACACATGTGGGTGAGTCAGTGGGAATCACACAGCACAGCGCAGGGGAACCCTGGGTAACAAAGCAGACAGCCCCCCCTACAGCACAAGCAGAAGGGTCACATGCAGAGACTTGCTCTCAGCCCTGGGGACAGGGCTCTTTTTAGCTGCCATGCCAGAGGTACAAGGGTCCTTCCTTTCCCTGGGTCTCTGTGTGGTGTGCACTGTATGTGGTGATAGCTGAGAATGTGGTGGGGTGGGGGGAGCCTGCCTGTGTATCTCCTGGGTCGCTGGGAGGGCTGAAAGGCTTGGTACCCCAGCCTGCTTCCTTGGTGATGTCCTACCCTTGCTCCGTGTGCACAGTCCCCTTTGCTAGGCACTATTTTGTCTGCCAGCGTGGCACAAAGGACCTTACTGTCACTGAGAATCATGGCTCAGGTGCCATGGTGATGGACACAATACAAATGCCTAGAAAGACGTGAGCCTTAAAGAGGGGAAAAACCAGGCCAGCTTGCCTAACTCTGTCTTGCCTTAGCTGTGCTCTTCCTGGCACGTCTCGCCCTGCAGGTGGGATCCTAGTGGGAGTCTGAGCACCCTCAGCTCAGCATGCCACAGGCAGGGGCCCCCTGGCCACTCCTTGCCAGCAGACACCCCAAACTGCTGTCCATGCCAGGAGCCCCATTTCTCTCTCCCCTTGCAGATCATTAAGAAGACTCGTTTTCCACACTGGGATGAGGTGCTGGAGTTTGACCTGGAGGAGGGGGTGCCCGGGAAGGAGCCGAAGGGGTCCCTTGTGAGCGTGGAGGTGTGGGACTGGGACATGGTGGGAAAGAATGACTTCCTGGGACAGGTGAGCAGCTCCAGCCATGTCCTCAATACCTCCATCGGGAGGTGGGGGCCTGGCTCTGAGCAGACTGGAGAGAGGGAAAGTCAATGGCCCATAGACCTGCAGCCTCAAATCTCCTGCTAGCTTGCAAGGAGAGCAGATCCCTAAGGTGTGGGCCACCAGCCTGGTTTCTCAGCTCATGGCTGGGGACAGGACGGGGTATATGTAAGGCTGGCTCGCACTCCCTGGATTCTGCCTGGCCTCTGGGGCAAATTAACATTGTCCCAGGGCTGCTCTAGCTCATGCTTTGTTTCCCATTCCCCCTCTACCACGGGCTCTGTAAGTAGCTGGAGTGCAGCGTGGCTACAGCCTGGGTTAGGTCAGTTATACCCGTTCTACCCCAGCCAGGAACTAGTTAGTCTGCCAGAGACTCACTGAGAATCAAGCCCAAGAAGGCGAGCCAGAGAGAGAGGGGAAATTGCTTATGAATCCTTGAAGGTGACGGGTACAGCTTGGAGATGTCTGCAGGGTGCATAACACTGTCCTGAAACCAGCCAGAGTGAGTAGGCGGCTGGGATCTGAGGCTGCTGCTCGGTCCCCATGGCACAGTTCTGTCTGATTGCTATTCCACTAAGGCTACATCTAGACTACAAGCCTCTTTCGAAAGAGCCTTTAGACTACACGCAGGTTTTTCGAAAAAGCCTAGACACTCTCTTTCAAAAAAGCACAGTTTGCGTTCAATAGCGCCTTTATTGAAAGAGTACTTTCGGAAAGAGGCGTTCTTCCTCGCAAAGTGAGGTGTACCGCGATCGAAAGAACTGCCGCGTCTGTCGATTGCAGCTGCAGTCTAGATGCAGGGGAGTTTTTTCGAAAAAGACTCACTCTGGGGTGGGGTAGGGCAGCTCAGCAAGGCTTGGACCAGCTTCCCTCCAGAAGAGCTTGAAGGGTCTGGCAAGGAAACAGCCTGCGGGTGAATCACACTGGAAGCCAACGTGTCCCCCACATTGCTGGGGGTTGGGACGAGGCTCCCTCCAGGGCTGCCCCTTCTGTCGGTGTCTGTCTCCTTACTGTCCCTTTCTCTGTGTCCCACACAGATTGAGTTCTCTCTGGCTGCCCTTCAGCGATCCCCTGCCAAAGGCTGGTTCAGGCTCCTGCCCTTCCCCACCACTGAGGAGGATGCTGGGTAAACAGTCAGCCGTCAGGACCCTGGGTGGGGAGGTGGAGTGAGCATGGCTCCTGGGAGCCAGGAGTCCTGCACACTGTTTCTAGCAGGGGCAGCGCTGTAGCTACTGCTGTGGACTCCTGGGCTCTATGCCCAGCTTTGCCACTGACTTGCATGCTCACCTTCTGTGCCGCGGTTTCCCCAACTGGAAACTGAGGTTAGTGAGGCTGTTGGTCCTCACGGGGAGGGTTTGTTCATCCACCAGGTCACCGCTTGCCACCTCCCTGTATGTGCATGGAGCCGAAGGGGCTGTCTTTAAATGCAGTTAACTGGGGCATTTTGTTTCCTGCCCCCGTCCTAAATTAAAACAAAAGCAAACTGCTCAGAAGTGGGGCTGCAGCCTCCACACCCAGCGCTTCCGTCCCGGCACACCGGGAGGCTTCTTGTGTGCGCTCAGCCAGGCCTGAGTCTGGAGGAGCCACTGAGCAGCACAGGGGATCCTCTGTAGTGCACTGAAATAACCCAGCTCTTGCCTGAAATGGGAGCTTGAAAGGCTTGGGCGGATGGATGGATGGACAGGGCGCTGGGCGTCTCTGCCACTTCTGCAGTGGCGCCAGGGTGACTCATCCACAGAGCTCACGCTGGCTGACTGTGTTCGTCCATGGGGCACTGGCGATAGGCACAGCCTCTGCCACGGGGCGCAGTCGGGGGAGAGGTCAAGGACAGAGGGCCTCAGGCTCATCTTGTCCGTTCTTGCCTCTGGGCTTTTGATTCTGGTTGCTGTGCTGGAGGAGTCGCTCCCATGTGCTGCTGTGCTCTCATTCCACACACACTTGCCCATGGAGTGGTGTCTCGGGTGTCCTTGCAGAGGGAAGCTGGGGGCTCTGCGGCTGAAAGTCCGACTGGCTGAGGACAGGATCCTGCCCTCCATGTACTACCAGCCCCTGATTGAGCTCCTGGTGGAATCTATCCTGTGCCCTGCTGAGGTGGGTCTAGCTCATTGTAACTGTGGCTGCGTCCAGGCAAGGCGGGGGAGAGAGTGGCTGGGCTGGGGGAAATGGAAGGGAGGAGGAGAAGGGGTGCCTCTAGTTCCCAGGCTCCTCACTCATGCCAGCTGGGGAGTCTGAACAGTGCCTGGCCCTGCAGCATTTCCTGCTTAGTCTGCACCTCATCTCCTGGCCGTAACATCTTCAGAGGGGCAGCCCAGTTAGTCTGGAGCTAGAAAAACGTCCAAAGCAACGACTAGACTGGGAGCACCTGTCTTTGGTCCCGCCCCCTTCCCTTCCCTTCCCTTCCCTCTTCTTGGATCTGGACTGCAACACTCCGGTCGCCGGGAGCCGTGGGCTGAGCCACGAGAGCGCATGGTCCCGCTGGCATGTTCCGTTAGTCTCCGAAGTGCCACCAGACTAGTCGTTGTTTTTTAAGGTTTTCTGGCCTTAAAATGTTTGTCTGGGGCCGCCCCATGTGGCCCCTTCCTGCAACAACCTGTCCCTTGTCATCCCTGGGGAGCCTTGTAGCTCTGAGCCGCCCACCAGTGCTGCCCGGGGACTTTTGCAGAGGCACCCCCCGGATGGCTCTTTGGAAGCAGGGTGTTACTGAGCGCAGAGAGCAGCTGTCCACCCCCAGCGCATGTGTGTGCATGTGCGGACATACGTGCACGCGTGTGCCGGCAAGTGTCAGTGCCTGAAGTCCCTCTTGGTCTGGGGCAGAGCTGGCTCGGGCAGTGGGGACCCTCTCTGTGGGGCAGAGGGGCTCTGCAGGTGGGGGGTTGAGGGTCTCTCCGGGTGGGGCAGAGGCCAGTGGCGCAGGCACAGTTTTAAGAGCGGGGATGCTGAAATCCAGCCCCCTTCCCTCTCCCCCACCCCCTCCACAGCTGAGGCCAGGAGCAAAGCCGCAGTGCACAGGGCTGGCAGCTGGGACCCTCGGCATGGGGCTGGCAGCAGAGCCCCCAGCACATGGGGTGGCATCCAGGACACCAGGTGCAGGGTGGGCAGCAGAGCTCTGGCACACGGGGCAGCAGCTGGGATCCCAGGCACTAGGCTGAGAGCCCGAGGGTGCTGCAGCACCTCCGCGCCACCAGGTCTCATGCCTAAGCCAAGGCTTGCTGGCCAAAGAGCAATGCTGCCCTGCTGTGTGACAGGAGGACGTCAGCCCGCTGGCCTTGCTGGAGGAGATCAGCTCGGTGGAGAGCCGGCAGGATGTGGCCACGAAGCTGGTGAAGATCTTCCTAGGACAGGGCCTGGCGGTGCCCTTCCTGGACTACCTCAACCTGCGAGAGGTGACGAAGACCAGTAAGTGCTGCCCACAGGCTGCTCAGTGTTGGCAAAGCTCCTGGCGCTGGGCATCGCTGTGCAGTGCAAGGCGCTCAAAGTGACTGGGAGTGCTCCATGCCGGGTGCGTGGGGGAGGGCGTGCTCCTCTGCCACACCCAGGCCAGGAAAATCGGGGGGGGGGGGGCTGAAACCCGTGGGGCCCGTTTCATACCTTACCTAGCACCCAGGTACCAATGAGTGTCAATACCGAGGTACCTGTGACACGTGTCCAAGTCAGCTGGCCACCTCTGGCCCGTGCTGCCGGCTGGCCTGGCCACCTCTGGCCCGTGCTGCCGGCTGGCCTGGCCACCTCTGGCCCTGGGCCGTTTCCCTGGGCCCCTGGCTCCTGGTTGTCCCTTGGAATCACAAGCAAAAATCTGTCTGAAGTGAGGCCATCTGCTGGCCCCCCGGCTAGCTCCTGAATGGAGACTGGCCTCGGGCCCCTGACAAAGGGCAGCCCCCCCACATCCAGAGGTCAGGGCCTGCTTCCCTCTCTCCCTCTCCTGATCTCAAGTTTGCAGTCCCACGGGGGCGCGGCAGAGGGCCATTCTGCTGCCCGACACCAGGAGCAGGGCTCTTCTGATCCCTTCCAGCCCGACGCAGGGGGTTCTCCGGCTCGCCTCCCCACATCACATGTCAGAGTTGTGAGTGGGGCAAGGCCAGGGGCCTCTTCCCTGGACCCACTGTCCATGACAGGGCTCTGGTCTCCAGTTGCTATGCCCTCCCCTCTTGCTGGCTCTCTGCACTGGGTTCCTCGTGCCTAAGCTGCAGCCCCCAGTCCCGTGTCCCCCCTCGACTCCTACACCCTTCCTGCACATGAGAGAAGCTGCTCTGTTTCCTCACGGAGCTCAAGCCAATCAGCTGGCTCCCGGTTTATTACAGGATCCAGCATTTGTCTCTCCACTTCCCTCTGCTCCTCACACCCTCAGCCTCTTCCCTGTCTGCTCCTCCCCCGCAGCTCCTGCTGCCTCCACCCCCACTTGGTCCCCTGGAGTCCATCTGTTCCCTGCTGCCGGCACCTCTCAGCCTCTCTGGCCAAGGGGCTGCGGCTGGGAGTGGCTGGGCAGCCGCTTTGCACACATCCCCCTGTCATGCCATGTGGAAATGCAACATGGTCCAGGGCTCAGCTGCATCATGAATCCATTTGCTTTGATTTCAG